CTCTCCCTCTCCACTTTGCTTTGCTGCTCTGTCTGTCTGTGAAACTGCTTCTGAGCCTCTCTTGCATACAGTATCTTCCAAACCATAATTATGAACTTGATTTGATCAGTTGATCCCTCAACACAATTGATAACATTTCTTCGAAGACAGGTTTTAGGTGAGCCGATTTGCCCTGTTAGCACGCACGCAGCTGGATATCTCACCGACTTAGAAGACTTGATGCGTCTATCTCTGCTGCCATTTTCGGATACAAGGAAGTCGTCAGCAGAAAATTTGGATCCGATCACGCTGCTTGCCTTTCTGATGGCTTGGTTCATGCCTCGAGTACCCAGACTCAAATGTTTTTGGCAGAATGGATCAGATCTCGGGAATTTTACTCAGTCACATTCTTTTGGTGTGGCCACGTAATTTGGACATTTCGGAATCTGAGTCGACCAACACAGACTCAAGGTAGACATCATTAAGTTCTGCTTGTCCCCAAAACAACTGTGTTGTTCTGAATTTGGCTCCCTTAACTGGCCTTGAAGGCCACCTTATCTGAATTTGCCTGGAGAACATGTAATCTGATGCTCTGCCCTCCCCCCCCCCCCCCCCCCATATTCAGCAAACATGAATGAGAAATTTGCCAGCTGTTTTACACCAAATGCCTTTCCTATATCAAACCTGGACTTGAACCTGCAGCCTCAGGATAACAAGACCACAGCACTGATCAATGAGTTACTGCTGTTCCTCCTACTGGAACATGTATTTGATTAAAAATCGGATTCTATTATTCACCAGCATCTTCAAGTGCCTTCCATAATACTTGTCCTCTTAAGCCAAGAAGAGTAGCCATCTTGGTTTGATTCTATATGTTCCCACCCCACGCTGAAGATTCTTTGGGTAAGTGTGAGTGTATGAATCTTCTGAACTGGTTTGTAGAGCCAAAATGCTTTGAAAGGTTAATGAGACTAGAAAACAACATAGTGGGATGAGCGTGTCCTAACGATGATCATGTACACAAAGTATTACAGACTAAAATAAAAAACTATTGATGAATGCCTGGCAATTGGATCAAAGTGATGATCATCATGACTCACTGAGAGAAGCAGGAGGATCAGGGGACCTATCTTAAATGGCCCTTTTTTCTACATCGAGAGCATGTCCAAAACACTAATGGTCTGACACAACTGTATGACTGAGTATATTGATATTTGAAATGAGTAAAAATAAAAAAGATACATCTCCCTCCTCCTGCTTCTTATTGATTTGGTCATTTAGTTATGAGCTTATGCTTGATGTCTGTATGTGCTTTTAGCTTGTTGTTGTTGGTTAATACTGATGGATCTTTTAAACAGTCTGAGCTATGCCATATTCACTTGAACACAACATGATGGAACCAGGAACTAGGAAGCATAATTTATGATCGTCTGTCTTCCATCAAAAATGGGCTGATCTGACCTTTTGTTGTCACATATCTGCTTCATGGTAAGCCTTTGACCACAGCAGTACTCTGTTTAAAGTTTAACCTTCACTTTGCCTTGAAGCTGTGACTCTGAGATACCATACGCTTAATGACACCAGATGTCATAAAAACGCTTTTCATATACAATACTTTGTTTTGTTTCAGCCTCTTTGTAGAATGTTGTGCTTTAAGTTCTTTTTCTATAAAAATATTCGTTCACTGCTTTTATTCTGACGTTCTCCAAACAAAATGCACAGTAATGACGCTGAAGATGAAAACCGTTGTTCAAACGATATTGCTAAACAGAAAGTCATCTTTTTTTATCCTTCATTTTCCAAAGCTGAAATACAGAAAAGGGATTATGACTACACAGAAGGCAGAAGGCAGGTTTACCACACTAGGCATGCCAGGTTTTATATCCCATTACAAAGAAATATGGGCAAAATAGTTTATTTTTTATTTTTATAAGAGTGTGTGTGTATTTCTAGTATCCTACCTCTAAGTAGACTACCCAGGGCATAACCAGTGTGGCCACCAGAAGATCAGCGACAGCCAAGCTGACAATCAGGTAGTTGGTGGTTGTCTGCAGAGCCTTTTCTCTTGACACAGCCATGCACACCAGCACGTTGCCAAAGACAATGACAAAGATGAGCAGGGTAAGAAGCATGGCGTAGTAGTTGTACGGGAGCCTCTGGTCCTGTTCTGTTTTGTTGAAGCCCAATGTTCCATTTTCGTATAAACTGTCATTGTAGTCATACTGGGAAAAGACATCCATTAGCTGTGAGTGATGGAGGCCAGGATGGGGCCCTGCAAGACAGACGGTAGCATTTAATTGTTTTTGTATTCATTGAAATGGTTACACGCAGTGAAAAAAAGATAATCTATAATCCTTCAGTAATTGCTGACCAGAAACTGTTTTCTGTTGATCTCTCAAACCCTGCAGCAGCCAGTAATAGGTTTGGTCTTTATTTCCAATTGCAGCAGAGATTGAAATCAAATCAGCGGTGTGTTCAGTGAAATTACAAGGATGGGGGAAAATAGAAAATTAAAAGATTAAGCATCTTTAAATAAAAGCTTGAATTCACCACAACAAACTGTGACACAGGGAGAGAATACTTATGCTGTTAAGTCAGTGTGAATAGGAATTTCTTAATGGGCATGCCAAGATTTTAAAGTCCCTTCATTCACTCTATGTAAGTTTGAGTCTGTATATGTAGGCATGATCGGATTTTATTTTGTTTCATGTGGAGTCTGAGTTTTTATTTTTTTGTTTTTGTTTTTCTGTATTGTCTCAGCCACTAGACATTTTCACTTACACCTGTATCTACTTCCTTAGCCACCATTTCTAATCAACCCAACTGTTGCTGCACGTTAATCAAACCTTGTATCTAAAAAAGTTAAATCTGGTCCTCTGGACATTAAAAAAAACATAACAAAGCAAAACAACAACAAAAAAATATAGTTTTGCTTGTTTTGTTGTTGTTTTGCTTTGTTTTGTTTTTTGAATACCCAGAGGACCAGATTTAACTTTTTTAGATTTTTCTACCTGGATTATTGAGCATGCATCAGGACAAACCTTGTATCATTTATACATATCTTCTTCTTTCGGATTTTCCCGAAATCTCATCATCTGGACAGTTTAAAATGTTTCAAAAAAAAAAAAAAAAAAGGAAAACCCTGTCCAGATGACTTGACTTAACTTTGTTGGATGTTTTACCTGGATTATAAACTTTGATGTTGTGAACCACTTTGGCCTCAGAGGAGTCGAAGGAGGAGAGGGCGGGCTCCTGAAAACATCTTATCACCAGCAAACTGGTTGACCCACTATGTGAGTGTGCTGCTTGTGAGACTGAGTTTGTTGGTGGCTCCTCAAACTGATGAAGTCCTTTGGATGAAGGACAAAACGTCAAAAAAAAATAAATAAATAAAAAATAAAAACAACTGTCCAGATGACTTGAATTCACTTTGTTGGATCTTATGAAAACATAGTTTTTACTTAAACGTTCTTTAAAGAAACAGGAAATAGGAATTCAGAATTCATCAGAATTAAGAGTCAGAGTCGTTGTCTTCTTCAAGTTTGCTTCGGGTCTCCTTTGAGCCAGGCTCCGGTCCCTCCATCTTGGATGGAGCCAGACGGCTGAAATGTGGAGAAAGTCCACAGAACCCTCTCACACACACCAGAATGATGGTGCTGTCTTGCCGGATCATCACTTCCTGGGATGCCAAACACCGGCCCTTTCACCATCATGTCCACCGTGGTAATGAGGACATCTTCGGGCAGGAAAAACCATCTTCCTTCTGGCGAAAGACAACTCTCAGTGCCAACCGGTTCTTTTAGATACTTATAGTTTACTTCATGAACCTCAGAGAAAACTTACATTATTATTTTAACATTAGTCCTAAATTTAGATAACATCTCTCCTCAAAGTTTAAACTATTTTACATCACTCACCCTTCGGAAATAATACTATTGGTTATGCATTAATATTTCACACTTGCCATACTTCATATTGTCATTAATCAAACGTACAATAAATGTTACAGAATTGTGACTTTAACCACCAGGGTTTTGTTAGTTTAATTCAAGTGAGGGGATCACAACATTGCCAAGAATCCACCATTACTTTGATCGAGGTCAATCCGCATTACGTATTTTTATTGCACATCTGTTAAAAGGTGTACAGATCTTTTGACTTTACCATATCACTAATAGGAAATGGAGGGAAAATGGTAAATATTTGGTCTATTCATTCTTGAATCAAAAATCAACCCAACTGGATTAGTTTTCTGCAGCAGTTAAATTTCTTGGTCACATGTTTTAGTTGCCTCATATCTATCTCTTTATCAATCAACCTTTATTTATACAGGTAAATCCCATTGAGCCTCGAGGACTCATTTACAAGAGAGACCTGATTTCAACAAAGAAAGATGACAACAATGGACAACAGCAACAACAATAAGCAGTTATAAAAACTCATACTACAGGTTTTTTTTTTTTTTTTTTTTAACAAATAGGATGGCTAAAAGGAAAAGGTAACAAAACAAAAAAAACAGCTAGATTCCAAGACAAATGTAAAAAACTAAAAACAGGAACATGTCTGCATTGGTCCCTGCCAGGAGTCCAACAGATTCTTAAAGCCACTTAGAGAGGTCAAGGTCGAGAGCTTCAAATCTTTTTGTAAGATATTCCAGGAAACAGGAGTGGAGTAGGAGAAGGCCCTTTTGCCTAGTTCAGTCCTCACTGAGGGAACACTGCAGGTAATAATGTCCTGAGAGCGCACTCCGTAGCTGCACTCACGCAGAGACATGTAGGAGGAGATGTATGAAGGCAGCAGACCAAGAAGTGATTTAAAGATGAAAATGTACAAATGAGAGAGTCTGCGTGAAGTTAATGATGTCCAGTTAACCAGTGAATACTGGGTGCAGTGGTGGGTACGATAATCACAGCCAGTTATGAATCTTAGTGCACCATGATAGACAGCATCCAACATCTGCAGGGTTCTTGTAGGAGCGTTCATGTAAATAATATCACCGTAATCAATGGAGGGAAGGAAAGTCACAGATACAAGGCGTTTTCTAGCATTCAGGGTTAGACAGGATCTGTTTCTGAAAAAGAAACCCAGTTTAACTTTCAGTTTCTTTACCAAGTTTTCCACATGGAGCTTAAAAGAAAGATGTGAGTCGACCAAGATACCCAAATATTTATAGGAATCAACAAACTCAATGGGGACACCATTTGAGGATAAAATCGGAGGAAGAACTGCTGGGACCAACTTCCTATTTGAAAAAAGCATCCCTTTGGTTTTTTTGGCATTTAGGACAAGTTTGAGGCGGAACAAATCAGTCTGGATGTAGTTAAATGCAGATTTCAGAAGCTGGAAAGCCTTAGCAACTGTCTTCTGGGCACTGATCTTCTTACATTCATACATCCTGGTGCCTGCTGCCTCCTCAATCATGGCAAGAATCTCTGGCGGTTTCATGTTTAGGACCTTGGTGATCCTTCCCTGGATTTATTATTTTTTTCATTTCATTTAGCCTTTATTTATACAGGTTAGTCTCATTGAGCCACGAGAACTCATTTTCAAGAGAGACCTGTTTAGGGAGCACATGGTGGGGGGTTAAGGGCCTTGCTCATGGCCCAGAGTGGGGCGAATGAGGGTGGGGGCAAGTGTGGGTGTTTCACCTACCCCACCCACAATTTTGATGTTGTCGGGGCCGGGGCGTGAACCGGCGATCTTCGGATCACAAGCCCACCTCTCTAACCTCTGCGCCACCACTCCCCCATATGAGATTATTATCTCATATTATTGCATCATATTATTGTTTTGAGCACAGGCTCTGTGGGGGGCAAACCATCTCCTGCAGGTTTTTCTTGTCACTGTGTATTTGGTGTTGTGATGCTAAATGAATGAAATTAGAGCTGATCGCATGCCTTCTTTGTAAGTGTGGAGGGTGAGCTCATTACTGTTATCTTCAGGGCATTTGCTTTCTAGACAAGGCAAGGTGCATTGTTCTGTTGGAGGGGGCACCTCTTCATGAATTCAAAAGACACCATGTTTCCCAGCAGAGCAGGGCGTTTTAATGACATAATCAATATTTGTCAGCTTCTGTCATAATTTGAACATTGTGGTCGATTGGTTCATATTAACTGACCGCTCATATCACATCAGTCTCTGTCTGGAGGTTGTTTTATTGAACCGCTCGTGTGTAAAATAAAGAGAGATCAGATTTCACACACTAAATATTGGCAATAATCATCAACTAACCTTTTTTTAGTTTCTTTTTGTAAAAAAAAACAAAAAACAAAAAAACAAACAGAATAAATTCATGATCAGTTTGCAATTTTATCAGATAAATAAAACTCTGAAATGAGCCACTACATGAGTGGCTTTAGTCAGAAAAAATTAAAAATAAAATCAATAAAAGTACAGATAACATTGTCATTGTCACAGATAATATAACGCCATGGGTAAAGATATGATAAGCATAAAATATTTTGGGAAAGTGAGCAGTGACAGTGTTTTTACTTGGTATACCTTACCTATTTACTGCAAAAAAAAAAGACAACAAATTAGCTAAACTGTCTTTTGTCGTCAAAATGTTGACTTCAACCATGCATACATTTCAAACTCATCTGACCAGAATAAAAAAGATCAGAAATCAGCCACCGTGAATCATTGTGTTATCACAGTAGACATGGCAATAACCCCATGACAAGCAGTCCTGACAGTTGTCTGATTTTATGTTTATGTTTTATGTTATGTTTAAAACAGCATTATGCGTTCACCACTTGCTCTTGTCGAGGTCGGACGCTTTTCCCCTCCTCTCCCTCTCCACTTCTGCTTTGCTGCTCTGTCTGTCTGTGCAACTGCTTCTGAGCTTCTCTCTACATATTTTCTGAACCATAATTATGGACTTGGATTTGATCAGTTGGTCCCTCAACTCAATTGATAACATTTCTTTGAAGAGAAGACTGTCTTTAGGTGAGCCGATTTTACCCTGTTGGCACGCACGCAGCTGGATAGCTCATCGACTTGGAAGACTTGATGACGTGTTTATCTCTGCTGCCACCTGTGGATTTTAAGGACACATTTATAATTGGATTTATGATAACTGGTTTCCTGCTTTTTGGATTCGGCTGGTCGCTGGTTTTATCAACAATCAAGGAAGTCATTGGCAACAAATTTGGACTCGATCACGTTGCTTGCCTTATGATGGCTTGGTTTGTGCCTCGAGCACCCAGACTCAAATGCTTTTGGCAGAATGGATCAGATCTTGGGGATTATTCTC